ATTTTATGTTTTAAGTAGAATAAGTAATATACAGGAAACTTAAAAAGGGAAAATATGAAAAGAATAAATCTAAAATAGTAAAATGAACAAAAACTCTTGACAAAAAAGCTATATAAAAGGTTAAAAAAATTCAGCCGTAAATTTTGAATTGATTGCATTTAGAATTCGACCCTTGCTATTGTGCGCGGGTTCGCTGTAGGTCATCCATTGCGATTTTCAAAACGATTTATCTGACCTCAAAATCAATGGTTTGGGACGTTTTTTGTCTTAAAATGACCAGAAAGAAAATATCTTTAAAATTCGCCGGGGATTTTGGTCCATCCTGAAGTATACGTGGTTTCGAGTGCTTTTAACTTGGGTAAATCTCATTTTTAAGAAAAACTGTCCGAACCGATTTTAAAAAAGTTTCAGATTCGGAATCAGCGGCGCAATTTTTACGTCGAATGGTATGTCAAACTTTAATTTTGACCAGAAAAATTTTCGCGCGCCGTTGTGGGGTGTTTCGTGTCTTCGACAAACGTCGTAAGATTGGACGATCTTGAATTCATCTAAAGAAAGAAATAAAAAATGTTGCACTTTATAGATTCTCCGGGATGTTTCCTTTCAAATCAGCTAGTGTCAATATAATAATAAAAAGGAGATATATAAACTGACCTTGCTTTGCTTGGCTTAACCTAGATCATGAACACGATTTGCAGATTAAGCATGATTACTCTCATATGATATTATATCCCAGTATCTAATAAATTATCTACTCTATAGAAATTGAATTAACGGAATAAAGAGCACCTCCGGCAAGAAGAGCTTCGTGTTGCCCAAAGTGAGAATTTCCTTTTTCGCCGTTGGATCAGACAAGCAGACGGAAAAGCCTTTTTGCCATAGACCAGGTCCAAAATGATCCGGTCTCCACCGTGAAAGAATCAAAATCCTTCGAGAAACGCAGTTGAGGTGTCATTACGTCACAACTAAAAGAATGAGAGTTAAGACCGAAGAGCAAAGAAAAACATAATAACAGGTCAATGAAAAATAAAAACGACTAACGAAACCATACGACAACATAAAAGCCAGAAATCATCCTGTCCAGCTGGGATCTCGATGTCGCCATTGTTGATCGAGTCGATGACGTCGTGTGGGTGTTGTCCATCAATGATGCAGCCAACCGATTGAGCGGTTCCGTAAGATCTCCTCTTCACCGTTCCCTTCAAGCTTCTTTGCCATTGAACGACTGCGCATGGTCCACGCGCGATTTTGTTGATGGTGTCGATGGTGAGATCTCCTGTTGTCTGTTTGAGGGTTTTTGACCTTCTTTTTCTGTTGCGAGGTGGCTCCAGAGGTTCCTTGATGATGAGAGACACAGCCGATGGCGCCACGTCGATCTTGGCGTTTCTGTTCTGGATGGGTGAGCTTGCAGGTGAACTTCAATCCTTTCCAGTCTTGCGTCCCCCGACTTCTTCTTTGGCGACTAAAATAAAATATGAACTTTGGTTTATAAAAGGCGCTATTCGTCTGCCCCAATTACTCTAGCGGGGGTAGTCTGGAGGGGGACAGTCTGGAGCTTGTACCCAGAACCAATATTTTTCCACGAAAAACTTGCATAGGGATTTTTGATTGTGCTGATCCAGGGGGCCCAACTTTGGGTGCGAGATCTCGATGTGGCTCCGACTTCTCCGCCCACACAACGCAAGTAGACGATCTTGATCTCAGCTGGATCCGAACTTTGGTGGCATTCTTCAGTTTGGTTTCGCTCTACCAACCGTGAAGGAGGATGCAAAATACAAATCAACAGATTGACAGATAAAACGAGTTGATGACAAACAAACAAGACCAAAGAAGGAAAGTAAACTAAAGGTTTCGGAGATATAAAATCAATTGATGCATCACGCGCTAGCAACTGAACGGGTTAGGGAGGAAATGACGAAAAATTTAAATTTTTCAAACCTTGCACGGCTACCGACTACATGGAAAGTAAGAGAATGGCCAGCAACATGCGTTATAGCAAGGCTACAAGGTGGTAACACAATACAAGGTTAACTTTTTGAGGGACTTTGGGGAGAGTCAGTTCGAAGTCTTACCATCGGTGCAAATGATAAAATACATGTTGAAAATGAAGAACTCAGATTGAACGAGGTTCATTCAAAAACAAAATCGAGAAGCAAACAAACTTAAAAACTGACTAGAAAAAAATCCATTTTAACAATATATATAACCATATTCGGAGAGAACAGTTCAAGGCCTTACAAGACGGGAATTGAGGCCAGATAATCTGCACTGTTAGATCGTTTCACGTTTTTCTTACTTTGGCACTGCCGTTTGGATTATAAATTGACTAATTCGAATGTAAATCGCAGCGGCGGTGCTAAATATTTACAGCACAGAGCAGCACTTGATGAGTCATTGTGAATGAAGCCAAGAAATCAATTTCGATCTGTACTATGAAGCAAGTATCGTTCGAGCTTATGCTTGCAAAATTACCGTAAATACTGTAAATTTGGACCCATGGGGGTACCATTTTTCCCTCCCCCTCTAGGGTGGGGTAACTATTAGAGGGGGGTTACTATTTTACACACATTATTCAAGTTACCAAATCAGGACACATTCAAACAATTTTTCAAAAGCAAACCCTTTTTCTTTAGTTTTTGGTTTTAACCATTTGAAAATTTAACAGCAAAACGGAAAACAAAATAACTAACAAGCGAAATCAATAGAAACATCCAAAAATCCAAATCAATGAATCCATCATTTGCTTGATCATCAATTCCTCGATATCCTTGAAATCCCGTCGATGCGAAAGGCCCCAAGAGGTCTTCGATTTCCCCGTGTCTGTCCGGATTTCCGTGTCTGTCCGATTTCCGTCTCTGATCTCTAACACCAACTTCTTTGGCTCCGGAAACCGCTTCGATGCACTTGCTCGTCGAAGCATCCAGTCAAACCGCTGGTCTCATTGCAAGCAACAATGTGCTTGTAATCGCCTTCTTCGATTGTCTTGTTCAGCCTCAGAATGTGCTCGACGATAGCCTTCTCAAATTCGCTCTGAAGGGGGCAGCTTTTTGACAAGTTGTTGTTGGTGCCCTCAAAGAAAGTTGATGGCGCCTCAAGAACGACTCCATCCAGCCAGGGCTTCTTTTCAAGGAAATTTCAGCTTTTTTCGAATCGATTAGCCGCTTCATTCCAGATAATCCGGCGTATTCGAAAATCGAATTTTTATTGGTGCTTGAGGTATTTTCAGGAAAGTAGAATTTTTCTCTTAGAAATTGATTTCACAGACAGAGTGCTCTTTCTTGACTTGGTGATTGCATAGCTATCGTTATCCAGTTGCTGGCGCGATTTGTCGATTTGAAAACAAAAGAACAAATAACTCTTTTTAATCTATTTTGGGAACCATCAAAGAAATTCTACATAAAAGAGATTCATTTCGGGTTTGGGGAGTTATTGTAAAAAGATATGTGTCTCTAACTCTCGGCTTAATTCAGATTCTAACCAGCTGCACAAGATCTAAACATTTGTTTTTAAGTTACTATCGTTAGGTATTCATGATTTGGGAGTGAAGTAGTACCTATATATGCGAAGCTTCTTTTAATGCAGCAACTAAAATCCGTCGGGTTATTTATTCATAAAGTTACAGATAGCTTTCTTGTGTTGTCAGTCAGTTGGTTATCTAGGCACCTATTCTCTGACAATGAGCTACTCTAACAATTTTAACCCAATGATTGCGCTGATTTCCAGGATATATTGTAGTTAGTGTGATCCTTCAGTTAAAATCTATTCGAGGGTAAAACTTTGAGTACAATTAGACGTAAAAACATTATCAACAGACATTAGTGTATTAATGAGCCGAAACAGGATAAAATTATCGCGTAAACTTGGCAAAACTAATCTATAGTGGAAATTCTTACGCATTAAGGATAGTTTTCAGATCACGCCAATATCTCTATCTCTGACGCCACTTTCATTAAAGTGATGGAGTAGAATTGATTGGGCAGACGGGACTCAAAACGACCGTAAACTCGTCAAACTGCAAATCCGCGATCACTTTTTCGAAAACTCTAACCTTGAATTAGTGGTGCAAACATTTGACTAACTGGAGGTGAGCACCGTAGGAACATTTAAGCAGGATATACTGTAACGATACTTACTGTAGGTAGAATACTGGAGTCCCCTGAGCGTAATTAGACAATTGATTGGTATAGCTTGGTAAGTGATAAAAGGTTGTTCAGTAGTAAGGGGAACTTCAAAAGTAAAGCTCTTAAGTAAAACTTGTTTTTACTTCGATATTCAGGGAAAAGTTGAAAAACGATATTTGGGAAATTGAAAGGAAAGAACAATGGATCCGGCCTTGAAGTGTATATTATAATATTCTTTTCATAGTACTTTAGGATTGATATTTTTAAAATGAAGCTCTAACTTATAGGGGTCGATCTTGGGGCAACGGAAGCGGGAAGAAACGAAGCGAGAGAAAATCATGGGAAGATTAACGAAAGACATGATGTCGAAGAAGAATGGGTGTACCCAGACAACAAACTTTCTGAAGTTAAAACAGGAGAAATACAAGCCGTTCACGCTCTTTATTGCCCATCGGTTTTTTCCATTTCACCAGGTACAGGGTGTCCGAGAAAAATCACTTTGTCTCAAATTTCTAAAAAAGTGGCTCAAAGTGGTAGGTATGGTGCAAAAATGATTTTCTGGGGTCGCAAATTTTTAGATATTTGTCAAGATCTTTACCATATCATGATCCCCTGGTCAGAGAGGCCTTTCCCATACCACCACCTGCCATAAGACAACTGTTTTCTAAAGGGCTTTTTAAGTTTTTATTTGTTTTCCTTTCCTAATATGTTTTTGTAAACAATTAGCTTCTACAAAATCTGTTTTTTAAAGTGCATTTTAGCAGTTTTTCCTTCCCAAGTATGTTGTTTTAAAATACTCGCTATTAAGCGCATCCAAACAAAGAGCCCTGCTCATTTATTTACAAGTTCTCAAAATTTTTTCAATTTGCGGTTTTGGAAATGAAGAAGTGGTGGTCGAATGATGAGAAAAGTTGGTCGCTACTGGACTCGTCAATGAGGGATATTCATGCAGAAGACATCCTCCCCGGTAAACCATGAATGCTAGAAATTGTTTAAGCTTGAGGTTAGGATCTTCGGAGCATGTAGAAGTAAATAGTTAGACAGCTGGACAGATGGTCTCATGAACACGGTTTGGCTTTATAAAAAATAAAGAGTTTTTGGGCTTATAAAGAACGATTAGTGCAAACAAAGTTTTTGAAAAAGAACTGGCAAATAAAAACAGATGTCGTAGAAGCTAATTGTTTACAAAAAACCTATTGAGAAAGGAAAACAAATCAAAACTTAAAAAAGGCACTTTAAAAACAGTGCCGTCTTAGCTCGGTGGCGCTGGCTATGGTGGTGGTATTGTGGAAATTTCTTGTATAGGAGATCATCCGGGGTAAAATATCATGTTGGAAGTAAAAATATCAAAAATTCGCGACCACTTTGAGCCACTTAAAGTGTTTTAGAAACTTGTGCCTTTTTTTCGGATACCCTGTACTTTTCGAAAGTTTGAATGGTAGGTGGTTGACGCTCACATGCAGCGCCAGCAAGAAGAGAAGAAGAGAATGTGCTCCGCTCACCCCGTGAAAAACATTTGTTGCTACGCAAATCGTAACTTTCGCACTTTGTCTCTATTTATTTTGGCCTGCAGCTGACATCACCAGAAGAAAAGAATATTTATTCGTTTGCCTTGGGCATTGACTTCAACTCGAACATGGCTGCCGATCATACACTGGACATCAAGGTTATATTTTTGTAGTTATATTGAACAATTTAATCTCTAGTTTGGAAAGAATGACAGGACAGGCGGCGCCACCCCTCTCATTTGAGGACACAGAAGAAGATGAGCAGGTGAGCTAACTTTTTTCATCTTTAGAATATTTTGTTTCCATCTAGTCCGGGATCTAATCAGGAATCATATTTGATATATCTAGATGCAGTTTCTTTCAATCTCACAAGATTTTGAAAACTGATTTTTAATATGAATAATTATGAACGTTATCGGGAGCTGATTGACGAATTCGGTTCCAAATTGGCCTAATTCGAAGCTGAAGTGAAAACTGTAAAATGTACTGTAATTCAAAATTACCCCCACAGAGATTGAGATTCGAATAGGCTCGAGTTTGAGTCAAAATTTAAGATCTTGAATCCTAGACTTTCTTGAAGTTGTAGTTAACATTGTATTAAGAGATGGATGAAACCGAGTGCACCGAGAAAGTAGGAGGTGTAAGAAATATATGTTGATGTTTTGATCTATATAATTTCTTGTGAGACTGTGTGTCTCGCTGTGGTTCAATAGTGGTCTTCTTTGGAAACGCACCACTCTATCCAACTTTCACTTATTAGGGCAACTTCGCTCAAACTGGAGCAACTTGGCACTATCATCACTTAAATCAACACTTGAATGTGAAAAAAGAAAATAAAGAACAAAAATGGAGAACAACAAACTCACTCAAAAGCAAAGTTTAAAGAATGGGTTTTTTAAGTATACAAGCTACAACAACCGGACAGCTGAATATCATCTAGTGACTGATTACGGTAGTTTATCCATCCAACCTTGAATTTTAACTTGTATTGAATTTTGACTCACTGCAGAGCAGTGGCAATTCGCCACAGGAGGCTTGATATGAAGTATAGACTCATGGAAGAAAAGTTTATAGAAAAGAATAAGAATTCGCGGAGAAAGATGAAAAGATTTTAAAAACTTAAAATATTGATGGCAATGTGGTGCATTGTGGGGAAAAGGGAAGATTTTCCCGCCTACAAGACTCTTGGGGGTGATTCCATTGCAATCCTTCTAGACAAAATTCATCGTTGTTGTGTCTTTGGCGTCGGCTCTTGCTCTTTGTCGAGCTGCTCACCCGAACACTGCCCGCACCGGAAATCAAACAAAGTCACCACTTTGATTTAACGAATACTTAAATATAAAGATCATGCTTCACGAGAGCCGTAATCACGTTCACCGTGTTATGTGATGAGATTATTTGTTAGAACAAGAATGCTTCACCTATTTTATAACACGAATCATTAAAAGTCAAAATACTTTAGTCAAACTGATAGTTCTCTTTCTATATGTTTATCAATTATAATTTTTAAAAATATCAAAACGGACGTTTCTGTTGTTCGAGCTCCTTTGCGATCTTCAGAGAAATCGTCTAGACGATGCTGTGTCAGTTGTTGTGAGTTGTGCAGAAAAGTGGTTCTTTTCTGTGAAATCTTATTTAATGTTTTGATTTGAATGTCTGGTTTTCTTGTCCCGCCTCTGAAAGATTGCTTTTAAGATAAAGGGACGGATAAAAGGGTCGGAGCCCACTTTACATTGGCACTTTTCATATTCTCTCCGTATTCCTTTCGTATTCCTTTTGTATTGCCATGAAACACTGAACCAACGATTAATCCTATTTTATTGTATTTCTTGCTAGATTCAGAATAAATATCTAATAATCAACGCCCCTATCGGTATTCTCGCACGACATTGCACATTGGTGCGCAGTCCAACTACGAAACCTGGTGAGGCCCGTGAATTCTGCACTGGTCAGCGTGAACCACGTGGGTCAACTGGAACTACTCGACAGACGTCCGATCAAGGTGAGCCTCCAATCCATTTTTGAGCCACCAACGAGTAGCCACAAAAAGAGTGTCACAAGAGAGAAAACCGACGAAAAGAAAGGGAACCGTCGAGAAGAGAGAGCCGAGCGTGAGAGAGTGCCTCGACGGAGAAAAGGACGAGCGAGAAAAGCGAGGGTACACGAGCGGAAGAGAGAAGGCCGACGTCGTGTGAGTGAATCGCCTTCAAGAAAGCGAGGAAGGGATCACTCGAGAGAGACCACGCGAAGAGTGGGACCACTGAGAGAGCGTCCCCACCAACGTGAGAGCAGAGAGGTGCATACGGAGAGTGCCCCACAAGCAAGCGTCGCTGTCCCGACGAGAGGCAGCGGCCAAAGACGAAAGCGAGAGCGGGGAAGAAAGCGCCGCGAGTGGAGAGCGCGACAGCTCATCCCTTTCGTACACAGTCCATTTGTAAAGAGCTCTTCGGAGAGAGGGTCACAACGCGACCGCCGAGAGCATCACAAGCCACCGTACAACAAGCAGCCCGAGACTGCACAATTCAAAATGAGCTCAACTATCAGAAGTCGGTACACCAGAGCAATCAACAAATTCAAGGAGTTGAATGCAGCGATCACCGGAGAAGATGAGAATACTAAAAAATTGCTTGAATCGTACCTTTCAACACACGTCAAACAGGGTGTTGAGTTTTTACAAGAAAAGGTGTCGGAAATCGAAAGCTATCTGCGGAAATTCAACGAATGCGAGGACAGATGGTTTGCCCTCATGGCGACACTGAATGCGGAAGAAAAAGCGGCGGAGGACGACGTGATGAAGAAGTACATGGAGACTGAGGATGGTCCGGAATATGCCCGAGACCACGCTCACATGCTCATCACTCAGTTCAAAAGATTGATTGCTTCTGGCGAACGGAAACTTGTGGATATCGAGAGCAAAAGAGCCTCAAAGCCCACGTCGACAACAGTGGCCACCCCGCTGACGCCCACAGTTTCCACAGCGAGTGCCACGACACCCGCTACCACAGCACCGGCTCAGCATTTTAAAGTTGCCAAAATGCCACTGCCGGATCTCGAGGGAAGCGCAACGTTCAGACGGTTCTTTCAAGCGTTTGATCGAACCGTAGACTGTCAACCGTGGGATGACGATGTCAAACTCACGTACATGATGCCACACTTGAAAAGGTGAAGCCGCGAAAGCAGTGGCTGGCTTCGACCTGACGAAAGAGAACTACAAGCTTGTGAGAGAGAGGTTGAGAGCCCGATTCGGGGATGAAACAAAGCTAAAGAATGCTCTCCTTCAGAAGATTCTGAGTCTGCAGAAATCGGGAGAGGGCTACAGAGAAACGGTCGCGTTTGTCGACGAAATGGAAGCCTTGGTGCAGCAAGCGAATAGCCTCCAGATGACGGGAGAATCGGAAGCTATTCGCTTGGCGGTGGAGAGAGCACTGCCGAAATGGCTCGAGGCGCAAGTCTTTGCGAAAAAGATCGACCACTCAAAATGGGATCTAGAGGCATTGAGAGAATCGCTCGGGAAAATCATGCATGCAGCAGCCGAGCGAGATTCGCTGCACTTCCAAGGGATCCCCACGGAGAAGTTCACGACCTTGCCCGCGGTCCAGAACTTCGCAAAGCAACAACAGAAAGGTGGCGGCAAACGGGACACATTTCAGCCGGTCCCACAAAAGGTGCTCGATGCGAGACAAAAAGCTTGCGGCTTTTGTCGAACCCAGGACACTCATTGGTCCACTGAGTGCCCCCTGCCGGTACAAGAGCGCTGGAGAAAGGCGAAAGAGTTCAAACTGTGCTACAACTGTCTGCGAGGCGGGCATGGTTTGAACAATTGCCGATCAAAAGGATGCCGCACCTGCAACAAACCGCACCACACATCCTTGTGCTCAAAAGGGGCTGACCAGAAGCCATCAAACGTTCCAGCGAAACAGCAGCAAGCACAGTACCGACCTCCAAGGGTTCAAGCCAACCCTCCTCGTTCATTCACAAATGCGACCCCAGCATTGGGTCCGGAGGCGGTAGTGATTTCGGCTGATCGTTTGCGAGACGGTGAAGCGTTGGTGACTGGGGAAGTGCGTCTCTTCAACCCAGACAGCCAAATCACGGGCACAACACTAGCGTTCTTCGACTGTGGTGCCAACAAAACGTACATGACGAGACAAGCAGCTGATGCTCTCAAGCTTGTGACCGGTCCGCCAAAGCAGTTCCTTGTCAACACATTTGCCGGCAGTCAAACGATGACCTGCCGAAAAGCGGACATTGAACTCAAAGTGAAGAACGGACCGAATTTCGAGATGGAGGTACTTGTTGTTGAGAGAATTGTTGCGAAAATGCTATCAGCCACCATCCGTCCAGGAGATGCTTTGAGAGCCGAAAATGTGGTTGTCGAAGACCGAGAGCCACATATTCTTATCGGCAAGCTACTTCGGGAGCTAGTGAGCAAGAGAAGACAGGAACTTCTGAACCACTTCTATGTCTTCGAATCGAAAGTGGGGATGGCT